CTTGGAAAGACTTGAAGTTGCTTCCTATGTTCGCTACAATGCAAGAGTGGGAGAAAGTTGGGCTGCAGCAGGAAATTGCTTTGCATGAAGGTGGTGAGCCAGAAGCCAAACATGTCCGTATGAATTGCACGGTCCGCTGGCACAGCACACATTGGGCTGGATGTCCGGTGCGGGGGCAGGAAGGTCATGGGACTCAACCGGTTTCGACTGGAGCTGCCCAGACGTCTTCAAGCTCTTTGGCGCCTGGCGAAGACCCTGTGAATGGTTCTGCTGGAGCTGCGGCAAGTACCCAAGGGACTCAACCGGTTGTGACTGGGGCTGTCCGGGTGCCTGCTGCAAGCGTGGTGGATCCAAAGCAGTCGCTTCTTTTCACTGGCATTAAGAAGCGAGGTGTGGAAGAAGAGGCAACGCCCTCTGTCAGCACAGTGAAAACATCTCGTTCGGGTGAAGGCTTGCTGCTGGAGCGCTCGGATGAGACAATTAAGAGTCTACTGGATTGTATTGAAGCATGCGTGCGACAGAATGATCTGTTTACGTTGGCCATTACCGGCACTCCATTGGTCGCAGCCACACAGGTGCATGCTGAGATGTTGGCGAAGATTGATGAAAATGTGAAAAATTTGAGGGCCCGGCTTCTGGCGGCATCAGAAGCCGTTGAAGCATGTATTGGGAGAACATTGCTCGCAGCATGGTGGAACGGGCAAATCGAGATGCGCAAGACCTGGATGTGCCGTTATTTTGTTTGCAAGCTGCTGACCAAAGGCATTCCAGAAAAAATAAAGCCATAGACAAGCAGCTGACGCATCAGCTGCTCACTGTTCCAAACCCGCATCGCACTGGCAAATTGCAAGGCATGCTACTGGTGCACGAGAACATGGTTGTGCGACTGGCGGATGTCTTGGCTCCACACCTTGGATTGGTTAAAGACAAACTGGCAGTGGTAGTGAAAGTGGATTTGCACCATGAAGATCAGAAGCGCCTGGACCGTCGTGAACCTGGATTCTGTCATTTTTTTCCGGACTACATGGCCAAAGGTATATGGGTGAAATTACTTAAAGGAAAGAATTCGCCCATGGAAGATGCTCTGTTGCAGACGTGGGAAGAAAAGTTTCAGAATGTGGCCGATCACACAACTGACGCAAAGACATTGTTCTTTGTGGAATTGGTGCATGCAGAGTTCAAAATTGATTTGAAGCTAGGCGAGGAAACGGAGAAAATTGAAGTGATTCGCTGGCAGTTCCCGCTTTTGCATGGCATGCTGCGCACTGCTTACAGCGCGCAAGGCTTGACTTTGGACGGAGGTGTGCTGGTTGATTTGCGTCGTGGTGGTGGCCTAGAGGATGCGGACTGGTGGCTAGCCATCTATGTCATGCTGACGCGTGCCCGCAAACTGAAGAATCTCATCTTGCTGGGGTTCACGGAGCAAGTGGCTTAGCGTTGTTTAGCGGTTGCTTGGTTGCTCTTGGTGTCTTTTTTGTTGCTAAGTTAAATGTGTGTGATGTGTTCAAGTATGCATCCAGTCTGTCACTGAAACTATTCACCACCATCATTGATGCCAAGGTAATAAGCTGGTTGACAGTGTAACCAGTTTTATTTTGGTTTTGGTTATCTATAAAACATTCCACCTGACCACTGAGTCATTCACATCCATGCGTGAACAGATCTGGTTGGCATTGGTCCTCTTGGTCCTATGTTTGTCTCAAAGCATCCACCTCGTCATTATTTCAATCTAAGTGATCAGGGGAACAGTGTTGCCCAGCGTCCCAGTTGATATCCACAGAATGCCTACAGAGGGAAAGCATACTAGTAAGGTTGCATACCCCATACGGGGGTTGTATCTAATAAGTTTTTCAAGTTCCATGATTATATATTTGTTAATGGTGTGTAAATTATATGTGGGCATAGTCGTGATAAATCCACTTGTAACAGCTGAATGGTTATTGTGAGCCCTTGGTCAACTTCCACAGCCAAGCGCCCCAGCAGGTTTATTTTTTGCTCAAAATCGTTTTGCCATCGCATCTGCAGTCTGTTTACCTTGCCATGGAAATGCTGTTAAACCCGCGAAGAATATTTAAGGACATCTTAAATACGGACTTGTCTACGGACAAGGTCTGATTATTTTTTGATCCAAGGTCCACGGACCGCATTGAATGAACCTCTACGGAGGTATTGTCCACGGACAAAGTAAACCTATAAGGAAGTTACATTTGTTCTATTTGGATGGATATTTGGTAGTTTTGGATGGTGAAGAAACACTGGAAAACATTTGGCAGGATGAATCATGAACCAAGATCCCGAAACACTGGAAAACCACTGTTTAATAACTGCATACATACCCCACAAAACCTGTTGATGAAACTGGGAAAAAAGATTAAACAACATAATAAATATTAAATGGGAAACATCATACATGAATGCTGGTATCCCTGTGGGGCTGGAAAGTCGCGCAAAAACAAATGGGTGCACTTTGTTTTTTTTCTGGCCGGGAGGCCATACAAATATATAATATGTATATTTTGTGTTCAGGCCGGGAGGCTATATAGAAATATAATGTGTATATTTTTTGTTCAGGCCGGGAGGCTATACAGAAATATAATGTGTATATTTTTGTTCAGGCCGGGAGGCCATACAGAAATATAATATGTATATTTTTTGTTCAGGCCGGGAGGCCATACAGAAATCATAGCAACTTAAAGCCACAGTCTGACACAGTGTGGGGTGTTGAAGCCTGGTGACTGGTTCAAAGCTGGAGTTGGAAGTGAATTCAATCAAACCTCACTTGAAAAACCAAAAAATATAGTGAGAATTAGTGAGATTTGAAGTGTCATTCATGCTTTGCACCTTTCAGCTGTATTCCCAAAACTTAGACCAAATTTCTACCAATTGTATTTGTCATGATATGGCTTCCCAGCCAATGAGTAATTACTGTACCGCAACCGACTTCCCAGCCGAATATATCATAATTGTACACTATGCAATACACATGAAACAATAATAATAATATAAGATACAAAATATCTTACAACCGGCTTCCCAGCCAAACTCAGCGCTGCATGGATGGGGATGTGAAGTTGGCGCTCAGGACAGCCGCCTGGCGCAAAGGGACAATTGATTGACAAAGGGAACACTGAAACTCAATCTTGGTAATCCTTTCGGGTCCTGATTGAATTTGTTGAATATGATTCTCAATGCGTGTTGGGTACCAACTGGTCTTTCAGGGAGGTCGACCCTAAACCGGATAGCAGCTCCATTTTTTTCAGCTTCCCAGCATGCCATTGGGGCAAGTTCATAGATCCATCATAGATCCATCTAACGGAATCTAACGCCAACACCAATCAGTATTGCTGTTTCTTCCTGCCAGCCATAAGCTGGCATCTAAGCTCAGATTCCATCCAATGGCGATTCGCCTCAGACCGAAAAGTAGAGGGGTCAACATCCGGGCATTGCACCTCCTTCCAAGCGATGTACTGGGCCATGTAGTTGGAGCGCACTGTGCGCATGTCACTGGTGACCGCTTCCTCCAGGAGCTCTGGCGACACCTTGAACTCCACATCCTCCACTTCAGGCTCGGGGTTGGGAACGATGGATTCAGTGGATGGCTCCGGCTCAGATTTATTTGACTCTTTGGGAACTCCCTTGGACTCCCATTTCGCGTGCCACACATTGGACTGATCTCTTTTGGCTTGCTTTCTTCTCTCAATCTCCACCTCTTTGGAGTTGGGAGTCAAATCCTTCAAGAACACCCGCTTCTTGGTCTTGGACGGCTTGGACTCATCCGTTGGAGGGTCAGCGGCTGCACCATCATCATGACGGTTTTCAACATCATCATGCTTTTCACCAGGTGTTTCAACATCATCATGCTTTTCACCAGCATGAGGTTCATTTTGTTCAGGTTCAGGGTCCGTCCCAAACAGTTCAGAGTCAGATGGAAGAGGACCAGTATCACCATGACATTGATCTTTTGGAACATCACCAGATGAAGAAGCCATAGCACCTGGAACATCACCTTGTGGAACTTCGGGGTACGGGTCCATGTCAAACGAAAGACTCATAGCTGGCATCCCTGCCAAATCCATTGATCGATGCTCCTGCTCCTGACCAAGTTTGGATTGATAAGTTGATAGGTATCAAGTGGTCAATGAATTTTCATGGGGTATAATGGGTATACAATTTTGATTTCACCAGGGTTCAACACATGCTAATTTTCCAAGCATATATTGTAAATATAATATAATATAACAAATGACATGTAACAACCAGGACTTGACTCGAGACTGCTGATCTCCTGTGCCGGGGACACTGCTCTCGCTTTCGCAGGTGGCGTGACGAACTCTTCAGGAGTTGGCTCAACAGGCTTGGCCATTGGGGTCCCCAAAGAGAAAACCCACGGTATAGGAGAAACCTTCGGGGCCTCAAAGGAGATCGAATGGAACCCTGTTGCACCAGGGTCTGGGGGAACAAAGTCAACCCCATCATCACCATCCTCCACTTCAATCAAGGGCGGCATGGATCACAAGAAACCCGGTCTAGCCACCCCCGGGTTGATGAAAAGCTGAAGAGAATCAATCGCAGTCACATCATCATGTCAATCTAAGTTCACAACAGAGCTATGTTCTTTTATGTTCTGATTGCAATCCTATGATGTGGTATGCAAAGCATTGATGTCTCAGCAAATCATTCAGCTGACGGCTGCTAGTGTGATTTTCCACACATCACATGGTTTCCGAGATCTTAGATGCCAGGTTGGGGCCTTGTTGGCAATACTCCCGGCAATTGACAAACGTACCAAAATTCATTGGCTTGAAGTAGCTGCATTGCAGCACTTATGCCAAATCCCCAAGACATATCAGTTGGCATGTGCCATAATCTCAGATGAAGTTGCAAACATTCAGAAATCAATTTTTTTGGCAACTAAATCTCGAAGTGAAGAAGTTACTGCATGTTTACAATTGGTTAAGTTTTCAAGTTGACACCTCAATCTGAGACCTTGGACTGTTGCCTCAAATCAAACGTTGGACAGCATCCTTTGCCAGAACCAGTGGGGCTTTCAAGTAGTAAAGCGGTTTGGCACCGCCAAGCGTCTTCTCACGCTCGTAGGCACGAAGCCTCCAGACCTAAGAATGGACCAGGCGTGGTGAGGGTGAAACCCCAAATAAACAAAGATTATGAAATTAATTTGATTGGCTTGTCCGGATTTCTGGGGGTGTTCATCATCTTAGAGTGAACCATCTTAGAGTGCCGCGGCTGGGAAGCCTATCATGCATAATATATATATATATGAATATAATATATATATATATATGTTATGTATAGACATAGATCATATATATACATATTATATATAATATAATTTAGGACCGGAGTATGTTTTTTTGACCCCACCCTGCCTTCTTCACAGTGCCACATGCATCCAAATCCTGCGCCATGAAGAAAGATGCAATGTTTGTCGGGCGCAACCCAGTGAACTGAAGTTGGTTCGGGCGCCACAACATCTTGCTTCCAGCTTTGGGTCGGATCTCGAACCTCAACTGGATACACATGTCCTTCAAGATCTTTAAGAGTCTGAGCTTTTTATATCAAAGTTCAGTCATAGTCAGAGTTTCCCATAAATAATACATATAAATTATATAATATATTTTATGTAGCAATGATGTATTATAATATATTTATGTAGCAACGATGTCTTGCAAGTAAGGAGCTGGTCAGCTGCATTGCCCTGCACTACAGCAGGAGGCCTGCTGTATTCATGCCCAGCCAAAGTGAAATCAACCATGCCACTGGTCTCGACCTGTTGCATGACTTCACGAAGCGTCTTCACAGGTCCATCCACTCCATTCTCCTAGCAGGGCCAGGAAAGGAATGGAAAGGAGATGGCTGTGACGGGATATGATGATATGTTGTGACTGTGATGATGATGATGATATATGATGATATGATGAAATGATATATGATTATATGATGAAATGTTTTGGCCCGGCCTCGAAAACCACCAAATCAGTGTCAGACCCGAAACTGCACATGACACCTTTGAATCCATTGGGGTTCTCCGAAACGTACTGGTCCACTTTGGCATCAAGGATCCATGATCCGGCTCCATAGGCGAGGCAAACCTCATCAGCTGGAACAGTGACTTCCGCAGAGGCCTCAAGGAAGAGCATCAGCTTGCCTTCAGTGTCAGGCGAAGCAACGATGTACGCAGTCAATTGCGGACTCCACTGAGTCTTTCCTTTCACATGGGCACGGTACTTCTGCTCAAAGGACCCCTTGTTCTTTGGTTCATCTGGGAACACGGAATCCCAGGAGAAGGTGGTTGCAGCGGGCTGACCAGCTTCGCTTCCATCTTGAAGTTGCCCTGGTGCTTCTTGCGCTGCAACTGCAAAGCAACGGTCGAACTCCTTCACAATCTGCCGCCATTCAGCGCCACGAACCGGGTCAGTGAGCCATTCAGTCCTGACATCACGTGGCAGCACCAGGCAGCCGTCCACAAGGCTGCACAACTTCAAGTGCGGTTGTTCTGCAGGAGATGGAATGTCAGCCTCTGGCGGCTCGGGCTGGTATTTTGGAAGCTTCTTCTCCATCGGTCCTTCACGGTTCTTCCACATGTCGAGCAGGAAAGTCTTGACAAGCGACAGCCCTGAGTTGAAAGCCCCCTGCTTGTCACTTTGGCTGCAGCTTGTGATGCCCAAGTTGATGCAAGCCTTCTCGACACAGCCATCATAGAAGGTGCAATTGACCAGGAAAATGGGCTTGGAATCCACCGAGCCTCAGAATTTTCAAGCAGAATGAGGGTGAGGAAAAAAGGATGAGGACATCAAAGGAAATATGATATGAAATGACATGTTATTTATTGTATTATGATATTAATATTTGATGATGATGATGATGATGATGAGGAGGAGGATGATGATGATGATGATGGTGTTTGAAGATGTTGCTGAGACAGTCCCACCAGTGCAGCAGCACAAACATAAGAAAGGCGAGAAACATCCTGCTGTCAAAGCTTGCAAGATAGCTGCAGGAATCTCACAGCCTCCAAGCCATTGTGCAGTTTCTTGGACATCGGTAAAATTGCGGCGCCCCTCGTGAGAGCTGAGAGCCGCCCCACCATTCGGGACGACAAATTCACTTTCTTGCATGGCCCTGCATGTGGTGGGCACCAGCTGATCACGCCAAAGCTGCGATGCGCAGAAGAAGTTCACAGACTCAGCATCCACCTGATAAAAGCTATCTAGTTTTTGGTCTTGACAGTTGGGGGGCTTTAAAAGAATTCGATGTAAATATCATAGTACCATTGGCTGGGAAGCCTTAATAAAATCTATTCATCATGGCTGGGAAGCCTCAAAAGGATCGCAACTGCAAACGTGGCTGGGAAGTCACTTGCATGGAAAGTAAAATTGGCTGGGAAGCTGCAGGAGCATAGTAAGTATGTATTTCAGTAATGTCATAGTACCATTGGCTGGGAAGCCTTAATAGAATCTATTCATCATGGCTGGGAAGCCTCAAAAGGATCACAACTGTAAACGTGGCTGGGAAGTCACTCGAATGGAAAGTAAAATTGGCTGGGAAGCTGTAGGAACATATATATATTATATATTATAATATTATATGTAGTATAATATATATATATATTCATATATCTCTTTGACTGGGAAGTTAATTCATGGATGCTTACTGTGTGATTGTTTTGAACCCCGCACCTTGCCAGCATTGCGATTGGCCCTGTGTGCTGTTCCTTTTGCAGGAAGAGTGGTGTCAGAGACACAAAGGAAGAATGTGAAACCCGCTGGCATCTCCCGGTTGTGGTGCAGCTGCGACAAGTCCATGGGCAAGAAGAACGTTCGAAATTCAAGTCTGTGGTTCAACAGCTTGTCCTCCAACTTCCTGTGATTTGGCAAAACCAAATCGAAAAACCACATTGAAAAAACAAATAACCAAATTGAAAAAAACAAATAACCAAATAACCAAATTTAAAAAAAAAAACAAACAAACAACCAAATAGAAAAAAGCAAATAACCCAATAATAACCAAATCGAAAAAAAAAACAAATTACCAAATTGAAAAAAAACAAATAGCCAAGATTCCGGATGTCAGTGCGCAATGCGCCACAGCTCACAGTCGAAGTCAGCAAAGGCAATGCCATGATGATGCAGGATCCTGTGTTGGGATATGTTGGCACGAAACCAAGAGTCAATGACAGAAAAACATAGAAACATGGTATAATATAAACAACAATTGGTCATAGTCACAACAGGTAATGACAACAGATTTAAAAATCATATTGGTATAATATATAATTTTACTACTATTATTACTACTTACTTTATGTTAAGACCGCAAAACCTGCAACTTTGGCGAGATTCCAAGAGGGTTTTTAGCAATCAACTTCTCACACCAGGTGCCAATCTTGTTGATGTCTTTCTGGGTCAGGACTCCCAACTTCGTAAGGTCCGCCCACCCAATCACAAGAACCTTGTCAGCGCTCACCTGGCAATGGAACGAATTTCATGCAGTTTTTCTCATAAGTTTGACTTTGGACAGAACCTGCCTGGGATCGCACAGCAGTTGCTCTGAGAATGGTGTCAACTTCAGGGGGTAATTCCATCTCCGGAACCAAGCCAGCCCAGCAATGATTCTCCATGAAGTCATCCACAACCCTTGGCAACGACATGTAGATCAAAAAGTGAGCTGTTTTGTCAATGGTTTGCCCAAACACCCAAAAAATTAACAAAATGACTCGACGAACAACAACAAAACACTGAATGAAACACTTTGAACATAATATCAAACGAGGGTCTTCTTTCCAGTTGCCAGCTGGGTCTTTTCATGGAGCACCTTGGCAACGTGCATCTTCCCAGCCGTCTTGTTCACCTCCACGTTGTACTTGCTCATGGCTTGGGAGTCAGCAGCCAGTCGAACCTTCACATCATTGAACTTGGCACTGGCTGCTTGCTCTTGAGCTGCCAGAACATCAGCCCCAGCTTCTGCTTGAAGCCCTGCTGGAATTGTCGGAGGTTCAATGATGTCTGCCCAAATCGCCAAGGACTGCATGCGAAAGTGAGGGCTCTTGGCGGCTGTGACAGCTTCAATGTCTTGGAAGTAATCCCTGGCCAGGGTGAAACTTGCTATGTTATGTTATTAATATTTTGTATATATATATTATAATATATATATATATATATTATATATATAACATAATAATATATTATGTACATGAAACTTGCTATGATGTGAATATGATACAATGTCGCAGTATAGTATTTTGATGATTTTCCTTAAAACTTGGTATTGTTAACTTGAAGGTTTTTGAGGTTTTCACCAAGGCGCTTGGCCATGAAAGCGTCCACCAACTTGCCATCCACTGCAGGGTCCGAACTGACCGTTCTTGCAGCTAAGCGCAAGTGAGCAAAAACACAGGCGAAGTCGGCCAGCTTGTCAAAATCATCTGGGCTGGCTCGCTTGCGGGACCATGCGCTCTGCTTGAGCCGTCGCGTGGCGTCCTGGAAGGACTTGACATGCAAGTCGATCAGCATGCCCTGAGCCAGCACCCCAACTGTGAGCATCTCAGCCATTGAATCAGGGACTCCTTTTGGCTTTGCTCCCAGAAGCCAACGCGTAGTGCGCAATTGCTCCGAAGAAAACGCGGAATCACGCCATTTCACAAAGGTGAGATGATTGATCATCTTCTCCCGGGTCTCCTGACCAGGTGTTGTTGATTGTTAGTTAATATCATGTCTGGACTTAGCAAGGCTACTTGCAATTTTTTACCAATATTAAATTTTGTTTGCTAAGGGCTAATTAAGGGTCTCAAACACATGTCCCCATGGTCCTTGCTGGTCCCAACCAGGATGTTGAGCACAGTCCGTTCCTTGTCATAGTCGATCTGGTGCTTGACATGTAGTCCAGGAGAACTGTTGAATTGGGCCACGATCTTGCGCAAGCGAGCTTCTGTGTTGCCAGTCATCGTCGAAGCTTGCCGCTCCATCACCTTGCTAAATCGCAGCGCGATTTGCAACACCGTAGGTGACTGTCGTTCCGCACCTCTGAAGCTGAGGCTTAAATTGCGAAACGACTGTTCGTCCCGGCTCATGCCCAAAGCGATCTCAGTTGAATCTGCATCAACAAAAGAAATCACGTAAGATCATTTCAATCACAGAATTGTGAAAAACATACTGATATGATTGAAATGGGGTACAAACCAGAAAACATATCGGGGTCAAGAAGATATAACTTAAATTCGGCTAGTAGCATGCATGGGCAAGAGCCAAGCTTTGTCCAGCACTCGTCCCAACGGCTGCAGATAGGCCACGGTTTGCTCGTCCGTCACATCCAGGTCGGAAACAGCTAAGCAAATGAATGCCACACAGCTGCAACGAGTCCAGCCCTTCACCATGTCAATGGAAAAAGGTTTGACCTCCATCTTGCCAGAACCTTGGATTGGTTCTGGGTTGAAGTTCGGTTTTCTTAAGTTCCAATTTTAACTGAAACATGGTTAATTTTCTGAAACATGGTTTTCTGAAACAACCACTTGACATCAAGTAGTAGTTTAAAACTTTAATTGGCTCTCTTTTTTTCCAGCACAGCACACAGCTCATGCTTTGGCCTTGGCTCTCGATCCGTTCACCGAATTGGCCCGGGTCACAGGCATCGCCTTGGGCCGAATGACATGTTTCGGCGGTTCAGCCGGTTCAGGAACCTTCGGTTCAGGAACCTTCGGTTCAGGAACCTTCAATTCAGGAACCTTCAATTCAGCCTTTGGCTGAACATCTTCATTGCCTACCTCAGCTGTGAGCATCTGTGCAAACTCCTCAGCCTCGGCCCAAGTCCAGGGCCCAGCAACTTCAAATTGATCGTCTCCTTGGGGGCCATGGTCAGTTTCAGTGGCAGTCTTCTTTGGAGGTGGCACCACAACACCGTGTCCTTTTCCACGATTGGCACCAGGAGGCTTAGCAAATGGCTGTGGGCGAGCACCCTGCCAGTCAGCTGTCCAACGGGCATCAACCCACCTCCAAGCTCCGGTAGACACGTTGCGCTCAAAGGTTCCTTAGTACACAGCAGCAGCAGCAGCAAGCAGAACTTGTTATTATTATCAGGGGCTAAAGCTTGTTATCATATTAAACTCAAATACTAATAATCATATTATTAAAGATATCTAATATGCTTTGGGCTTTACTTATGATGCAGGCGTCAGGTGCTAATTTTCCACTTGGGTTGGTCCCCCCAAAAAAGCCCCCCACAAGTCCCAAAATCTTCCATAAAATGCAGGGAAAACACTGCTTTTTGGGGACTTGTGGGTGGCTTTTTTGGTGAACTAACCCAAGTGGAAATTTACCAGCGTCAGAGGTAGACAAACACAAAAGAAAGCAACATATTTCTTTGAGCTCGAACTAGTTTCCTTCCAGACTGTTGGCTTGAACTTGCTCAGAGTTCCCCAGGCATTCCCGCCAAGAGCTCAGCCAGTCTTGAAAACTTTTTCCACGGCCTTTCGATGTGGTCTGGTAGAAGAAGCGAAGTAGATCTCGATGATCTGTTCGACGTTGGTCGTCCCAGCGCGCTGGACCACCGATCATGTCAGCAAAAGTCAGGGATTGAAATAGCTAAGCTCAGAAGCTCCTGGGAAGGAGCTTCTTTTTACATTGAGATCCTTGAAACTGCTGCGCTATATATTATATATTTATAATCACTTTTCATCATCATATGGCTTCCCAGCCAGATCGGATACAAATATATTTGCATGGCTTTCAAAGTTCACTGCAATATGAAGTGTACAGTCAAATCTGTTTCATGTTGCCATGTTGCCCAGAACACCCGGTAACCCAGTGGCTCAGCTTCTGATTGCGTCAGGCTATTTGCAGCCAAAGAACCGTCCGGCTGGAAGTCGCTCACCTCAGGTTGCGGATCAATGGAATCGGATTTTGGGACATGAGAATTCATTTCAATTTTGAGATTATTAAAATTATTCAATGCTATTTTGCGGGGATCAGTTTGGTGGAAAACAAAAAGTTATATAATTGACTGAGTGGCCGAAACATCCATAGGCTCACGCTGCATGTCCAGCCCGTCCAACAGAATGCTGGTACAGCAAAACACCCAGTCCTCTATGGTTGGGAATCCATCCTTGGGGATGTCATACCTTGGCCAGTAGTGGCATCAAAGTAGTAGATGTTGCTTGCTTATGCTGTTATTATGAGATGATTTTTGATATATATATATATATATATCTATTATATATATATATTTCTATTATATATATATTTAAAGAATATATATTTATAGAATCTATATATATATATATGTATAAACATAAATGTACTACATAAATCATGTTCTTGTAACAGCTTCACACCAAAAGATCAACAGGAGTTGACAAGAATCTTGCTTAAACAAGTGAAGTTGCTTCAACGCTGTCAGCGGCAGCTTCAAGGTGTCCTCGCCATGAGATGCATCAATTGCCTGGGACTGAGTGATGTGAAGTGATGGGCTGCACTCCAAACCAAACTTGTAAGTGCAAAAAGTTTACCATATAATTTTATAGCACTGTCATCATTTTGAAAGTCTTATGGTTTGCTATTGTCACTTTACTGCCACAGTACGGGTATTTTGTAACAATTGCGTGTCAACAAATGAGCACATCACATTGAAATTGATTAACTGAGCCATGGACACACGAAGCCAATGGCTTGAATGATTTCACTTTGTTCTCACGCATGGTGCTGTAAGCCTCAAAGAAATTCTCTAGCTGGTTGGCATAGTTGCTGGCACTGTCACCACACAAACAGTCGACGACAGCTTGAGCAGGATGCAGGCAATCAAGGTTACCACCCTCAGCGGTGAAGCCCATGATAAAGTCCAGAAGTTCCTTCAAAGTTGAATTGCTACAGGTTGAATTCAAAGCAATAGATGACCCAAGATGTTTGTATTTATTGCTACAGGTTATGAATGGGCTGAACACTTTAAAATTCAAATATATTCAAATACTTTATGTTCAAATGGTTTTGAATGTTGATTGGTGGGACACGCGCCTTGACTAGACTCAAATCACCTGGAATGGTCTTCATCTTCTTTTCCAACTCAGTTGCCATCCTTTTCGCAGGGGACGGTGTGCTCGGGGCATCTTCAGCTTTCACCTTCACTTTCGCATCGTCCTCAGGTTTCTCCTTCTTGGCCTTCAAGGCTTCAAGCATGCGGCATACAGGCGGCATGACGAAGCTGACTCCGTAGGCAATCCCTGCCACAGCGACTTAGAGACAACAAGTGGCAATCCCAGCCAACAAAAACAATCCCTGTTTTTGGCTTGAACCAGCGAGAGCGTTGATGTGTTTGACGGGTGGCAGGTCCAGTGCACTTTGACCATTGATGAAGATACAATTTCTTATGATCCATCATCAATGTACCTCGAGCCTCCAGCTACATTGAAAACCCTATCTATAGAGGCTTGATGTTGATTTTATAGTGTTGAAATTAAGATGTTGATCAACTACAGCTCTCCAAAACATACAAAGTCAATGTACCTCGAGCCTCCAGCTACATTGATGACTTGTGTTGAAATTTAATCTTGGATCAATGTTGAAAGTATGGATTCCGGAGCTACGCCAGACTGAGAATGGGCAACATGTGGAAAATGCTGGTCCGGGACCCAAAGGGAAAAGACCGGTTCATCAACCGACCGCGAGCCTCCAGCTACATCGATGGTGCTCTAAGTCATGGGTTGGAAACCTCATGTGCATTGATGAAGCGGGTGTCAAAAACAAAGTGCATCGATGAAGAGGTTAAAGAAACGAAAAGTGCATCGATGAACCATCATCCAAAAGTGCATCGATGAACCATCATCCAAAAGTGCATCGATGAACCATCATCCAAAACTACATCGATGAACCATCATCCAAAACGACATCGATGAACCATCCTCCAAAACTACATCGATGAACCAGTGGAATCAACCAAAAATACATCGATGCCAAAATTTCCGTTTCAAAAATGCTACCAGTATCTACCAGTAGAAGATTGAGGAACCAGTGATCTTCAGTCAGAAGTCTTTTAAAGGATTTGGCAATCCCCCCAAATTGTTGGAGTCAAATTCACTTGGCCCTTCCAAAGAGTTTCAAGTGACCGAAGCTGTGAACGAGGCCCCGTGCAGGCGAAGCTGGAAGCAGTGCAAACCTCAGACTCAGCAAGGGAAGTTTCTTCAAGACTGAAATTATTCAGGGGTCTTACTTTTAACAACGTGGGTTGGTCTGCTGTTCCATTTTTACCGTCGCACACCAGAAAATACTGCTTTCAATGGCATGGTGGGTGCCAATGAATCTACTATGGTCTTGTGCAATGTGAACACTGGCTGGCCAATCAAAGGCTGACCGGCTTCGTGGTGCCAATCCAAGCGAGGCAGTGCCGTTTCCCTCCAAAAGCGGTTGCTGGCCAAGTCCTTCAAGTTTGCTTCAAGGGATCATCAAGGGGGAACAAAATACGAAACAAATTTCAGTCCTTGAGATACTCAATTGCTTTGGCATAGGAAAGGCCGTAGGCTTGCGCAAGTGCAGTAGCAAGTTGTAGACATTGCTTTCTAAAGGCATCCGAGTGATTGTTTTCATGCCTGAGCATGGGGCCACCCAAGATACCAAACAAAGTTCACAAGTTGTTTGCTACCTAAGTTCCAACTTAAGGGTTTCCATAATTCAAACAGTTCATTGTTTCATTGCGCTAACTGGGCAAGATGCTTCACACGAGGCACCAATGGAACAGCTTCCACACGGCTCGCAGGCAGCACAAGCAAAGGTGGCTGGGAAAGATCGCCATCAGCGATGTATCGCTTCACGAGGCATATGGTGTTCCCTGGGTTGATGTCGCCACGCCAACTGCCATAGTTCACAGCAGCTTGAAGTTGTTCAGGGAGGTCTCAGGGCGACATCACTTCATTGGAAAACAGTGAATTCTTACAATTTTTCATGACATGACTGACAAACAATCATCTAGAATATGTTATATTGGGGAAAAGACATCCTGAATGAAGCTTCCCACCCAAATGTTTTCTCCCACCTTTGTGTTGCATCAGCACGAAGCAATGATTTGCAGTAGAGTCGACTAGCAACCCACCACTGACCGACACACCTTGGCCACGGTATTGGTCACGCCAGTTGTAGGTCACATTGAGCCGCGATGCAGAAACTTCCGTGCTGCTTCCAACAAACGCTCGGAACCCTGGTCTGTTCATTTCCTGGTTCAGCACGTTGACCGTGTCATCTGCTGAATGTATCTTGTCCGTGTTTGCCACACGCCTGGAAATGATACCAAAAAGTTGGTCCAATCGGCAGTGAGTGTGCGATTTACGCAACATCATCATCACACATAAACGCATTTTGCGTCGACCGATCAAGTTGGCCAAATATTGAAGGCAGTGGGAATTTTTCAACTCTCTTACAGTATTATCTCCAATGACCAGTAGTTTGCTCGGGAAGCTTTGGTTGCGTTTGCTGCAAAGTCCATTGACCCTCTCAAGAGCTTCAGCTATGATCTGTATCACGCAAGATGCATCGTGAGGTGCATTTTCATCCAAGACTCGCAACTCCAAGCTGTGTCCTCAGAGTTCCCAAACAAAGCTATGAAGTTGGTTTGAAGTTTGGAGCCATACACTACTACCTATTATATTGATGATATCAGTTAATATACTCCCATACACTACCTATTATATTGATGATATCAGTATATACTCCCGTCAGCGTCCATGCAACCCCCTTTCAGACGACATCACCATGAAAAACTATTATATGAATCCAAAGGTCCAAAGCACCAAACACCATGTACTTTGATCTTTGGGCGCTGGGCCTGCACCAAAGCAGATGAAGCAGTTGCTCGGAGAGCTGGATCTCTCGGCAGCCTAAATTTAGACTGGTCAAGGCCGTCGACCTGAATGACCAACACATCGCTCATGTGGTCCAACGCAAGCTCTTGTAAGCTCCAACAAATGCATCTATCGCGCCACTGCGCTGACAGATGCTCCCTGTAGGCCAGCACTGATGCCAATTTCTCTTCTAGAGAACCAGCGTTTTTAATCGACTCCTTGAAACAATAGCAAAGCTCGCACTGCGTGAACCTTAAGGCCAGTAAAAGCCCACCGTGAAGTTTAAACAAAGGACCAATGCGCCCCAAGCACACCGTAAAACAAAAAAGAAATAAACTCATGTCATGCTCGCTGAGGCTCATGGATTTCTGCCTGAACTTGAGGATGTCAGACCATTTCTCCTTGTAGATCGACAGGAACGTGCTGTACCTGAAAGCTGCAATTGGGAACAGGTAGAAGGTAGTACCTTTAGCCTTTAAAGAGTTTTCGTTGTAATCCCACACGTTGATCCATTGGTATGATGATAATTGCCAATAAATTACGCTATAAACTTGTTTGTTCATGTGAGGCAAGTTACGATACAGCCACAGCGCCAAAAAGATGTCTTGTGGCTTGATAATGACTGTACAAGTCTGCAACGGTTCCTGGTTCCAGATATTTGGTGATGGCTGACGCCCCTGGCTGCATGACGTTCCACAATGCTTTTCCTGTTGGTTTGTCAAGCCAGTCCTTGACATCCTCAGGGTCCACCTCCACCTCGTCGAAATCAAACTCTGGATCTTCTCCCTTTGCAGATCTTCCACGGCGTACAAATCTTCAGGGAGGATGATGGAGGATGGAAATGCCAACTGTAAAACTTATATTATACTATGCTAAGATTTTGACCAGTGAGTGTTTGAAATCCAATTTTGAAAAAAATCGTACCTATCAGGCAATGTCTCGGCCACACCATCGTACAGTATACCCAAGAATGCATTCACAGATTGGGAAGCTGCATGTCGTTCCCCTTTACGGGCGCCAATTCGAAGGTCAGGCGTCATGGACAGAGCTTTTCTGAAGCGGTTGATGCCAACCCCCAACACTTTGCACAAGCAAAAACGTCCAATGGGCCTACCCAAGAAAGTAAACAGAGGCTGCTGAGGCACCACTTGAAGTTGCGCTTCGCTGCCCACCAGCGTGTGTAACTTGGTTTCCACTGCCATCGGAAACAAACATACCCAGAATGATTTTGAAGCAAAGTAAACAACCATGAGACAGAAAACCATGATCCGTGCCAACTTTGCATTGAAGTTGCGAACGAGTCTTGCTCACACTTGGCAAGGTTCCAAAACTTGTCAAGGAATTTCTTGCAGTCATCCAGGTCAAGCTGTTTGAAGCAACTCTTCAAACCACCTTGGTCTGCAGATGCCTGCAGGGTTACATTGATTCGATAACATATTTTATAATCAAAACATGGTCGGTGTCTAGTTTTTGGATACTGTATGAGACCCCATATTCCCCACAGTGGAAGTTATAGTAAAAAAAGTGTATGGCTCCAAATTCAGGAACAAGATTCAATTACACTGATGCTTTCGGATGAGATCTTCTATCCGTCCAGATTTCAGAGCTGATTCCTTGAAAGATGTAGCCTTGTGTTTCAAACTGCTTGCAGCTTGTTCGGCCCTCTTGGAGTTGTCATAGGTACGTTTTTGAGGCTGAACCTTACTCTCATTTACAGATTTCTGCAAAAAAGTTGCATGATCAAAGAGCTTCAACGCAGACCAGTCCAGATTCAATGTCGGCTTCGGAGGTGGCGCCCCCTCATCATCGGTGTCAACTTCAGGCGCCGAAGGGTTGAGTTCATCCCCTTCATCGCCAAACAAGACCGGAACAGGTCTCACAGAACCAGTTGTTTTCAAGTTCCTGCTACTAGATTCTTCTGGCTCTGCGCCAAACAAATTGGGAGCCCTCCTCAACCGTTTCTGGGGTTCTTCAGGCTCATCTTGGAAGAGACCCCTCCCGGCTTTGCCCATTGCGGCATAGTCGAAAACCAGATCATGATCATGACCAAAATCAAATTGAGATGTAAGTAGTAGTACTTGAATTTTAATCATGAAACTTTAATCATGTAACAGCTAGCCATGTCAGGTGTCTTTGAACTTTAATCATGGAAGAAGCTTGGTTCAATTATTATAGAATGGATTCCGCATGGGGATCAGAATGAACCACCAACATGCAGTCAGGTGTTCTTGAGACAAATCAGCTTGGCCCAGTTCGAACATATGCCAAACATGTTGGGTGGTTTAGCATGGAAATTGTCGGTCACCCCAAGCTAGCTATCACCCAATCCTTTTGCCACAGAGTCTCCAAGTCAGATGTCTGACAGGCAAAGCATTGCCATCAACGCAGTGAACCCTGCGGAGGCCAGGTGCATTCCGTTCCCAGCAGCCCGGCTCAGGGCAGCGTTGGAAGCTAATGATGGATCCAAGATCCTCACATCCTTGGAGAGCAGGCGACTGGCTGATATGTATATGTATATGTATAACTCAAATTATATATAATACAGTATGTAAAAAGATGACATCCCTTGTATCATGATGATATATATATATATATAATATCGGGTTGGGAAACCATATATATAATGATATATATAATATCGGGTTGGGAAACCATATATATGATGATATATATATATAAATAATTTATATAATATATATTATATATTAAATAATATATATATATCAATATATACAGTACTATTATATATATAATATATATAAGTTAGTCTGGTCTGTCATGGTGCTAGCATACTGCTATGCTCAATCAGCATAGTTTTGTTTTTGATGAACAGGTGAGTCATCTGTGCTTTTATGTGTAGGTCTGGTTGGTCTGGCCCTAGCTGTATGACTAATTCTATGCCTTGTATGACTTGTTTGATAAAGGTGGGCTGTTGTTTTTTATGGATAGTTCTGTGTTTTTTTATGAATCATGTTGTGTCTCTTATGAATAGTTCTCTGTCCTCTTTAAATAGTTCTGTGTTTTTTATGAATAGTTTTAGGCCTTTTAGCAATAGTTCTGTTTTTTTTGGAATAGTTTTGATTTTTTAGAAATAGTTCTGAACTGTTTGGGAATTGTTCTCAGGTTTTTAGGAACAGCTCTGGCGATTTTATGAATCACCCTGGGATCCTCACAGAGACATCAAATAAAGAGGCCGAGGCAACCTCTAATTTATATATATATATACAGTGAACATGATGATCGACGTGATATTGCATAATAATACATCTATACGGTTGGGAAACCTGATATGAAAATAGAAATAGTTACAGTACAGAAAATTGTTGGCAGGTCACAGTTTGGAGCTGGTTGGCTGTTTGAGGCCGGCATGGATACCCGAGAGTGGAAAGCATCTCCTTTGCAGTAATCATCCGTTGTTTCCCAGTGGACCTTGGGCAACCGTTTTGATTTGGGACAACCAACCATGATGATGATGTCAGTTCAGTCAATCATGATCCCTGTCATTAGTCAATCTGCTTTCACCTGCCAGGCCACCATATGTGAGTATTTGTGGTCACTGTCATCAAGGCTCCAGTGTTGGATTCGGTTCGTCTTCGGTGGTTTGGATTCGAACCCAGGTCATAGAACACTTTCGTAGGGCATGTCTGTTTAAACATACCCAGGTGCAAAGACTCAGAGGGAGAAAGGTCTGCAAGCTTTCGAGAGCCAGATTCAATTTCCGATTGCCCAGCAGTAAGAAAGATGGTTGGCCCCACCCGCAACTCTGATCCAGTGGGTAAAAGAAATATCTTGGTCAACTCTGAGAAGGTATATATGCAATTCCACATCATCCTGGAGGGATCATACATGATCCTCCATGCCCGACTCCTGCTGGTAGGCTCCCCAAAGAGGGACGGTGACAGCCTGATGGCTGAGGCCAGGGTCTAAGCCAGGTTGAACATCACAAAAAAAGTAAGATTGAACATCAGAATTCCTCAAATTATTGTGACTCAAAAATGATAAAATCAAAGTCGGGCAACTCGGCTTTTTGAATAGTACACCCAGTCTCCCGCTCTAAGTACTCATCCTCTTCAAATCCGGGAACGTTTTCATGGATAGTCATTTTGGTCCGTTTGGAAACCACTGTGCCAACATCATGAAGCTGCTTTGTAGTTTGGTTGCCAAAGCCATCCTTTTTTCCCATCCTGAGTCCAAACAACACATACAGAAAACACATATTAGAAAAAAAAAACACATCCGAGTCCAAATGCCAGTTGTTCAATTTTGGGGACACCTCAGAAGTAAAAGAGTACTTTGATGCTTCAACCAGGCTCAGTGAATGCGAAATGCACGGAGCACCCTCCACTAAGACTGAATCTTTGTCAATGGAAAGTTTGCACCTCAAACCCATGGGGCCAAAAGATAAGTAAACATGTTGACGCTCCAAATAAAGATAAATAATGCACCAGACAATAAAATATTTAAGAAGCCATTGCAATCACTTCGCCAAAAACACAATTTGTTTGTCAAGTTACTCCCCACAATGGTTTTCACACCAAATATAGTCTGCCAGTTTCAACTTCGATGGGGCCCACACCGCTTTAGGCTTGGACTTCAACAAGTCAAAGACGTTCCCACTGAGGCATGTGGTCGGGAAGTGCTCTTTGAGAATGGCCTTGCAAGCTCTGTTTTTCTCCACCTTGGTCCAATTTTGGAATTGTTCAACAGTGGCGTGAGATAACTGATAACAAACAAGTTTGTGCCAATGGTCAGTATTGAGACAAAATAAATCAAAAAAGTCTTGAAAATGGCTGGGACACCATGAGATCATAGCAAATGCCTAGATGAATCCCAAAGCGTTCAGCAATTGCTGATTGGATTATGTTGATTGCCTCCCTGAAGCACTCAATGCCGCTGAACAAGCTGAGAACTTGCCACTTCACTTTTCCTGGGGCAAAGGACAGTGACAGTAAAGTACAGTAAAATGATGATATACTTTAAAGTACAGTACTTTACTAGCCTTTGAGGAAGGTATTGAGCATTGGAAAAATATAAAACACCATCAACTGTAAGCAGAGTCTCCAAGTTGGCGTTTTACACACCCTTGACCCCAGAAATCACACGCCCGTTGTAGTAGCACCCTCGGCCATTGGTTGATGTCTGCCAGGCATCCTGGTCGTGGATATGGGCTCCTGAGAGCGCTGATGCGGTAACCAAAACACTTCAGACCCCAATTGAATATGTTTCAAATTCGGGTGAACCATTGAATCTGAATAAGTGCAATGATCAATGATCTCAAAAGTGTCAGCATTAATTAGTCTAGCATCAGTTCCGGAAGTGGCACAACCACATCATCTGCAATGGATGCTGCAGGACGTTTCCTACCCATGTTCTTGGCTTTGAGCCAATGCCTCGTTGCCGAACACTTGTATCACCCTACGTTTCAACCACTGTGGTGAAAGGCTTCCCGGCCAATTACTATAGCTTATATATTATGGGCTTACCAGCCATTTATAATATAACTTATATATTATGGGCGGCTTCCCAGCCATTTCAAATCAGTTAGTAAATCAGTATATATTATAGGCTTCCCAGCCATTGTGCTATGAATCCATTGATATAGTAATGCTTCCCAGCCATTTCATATCAATTAGTATATATTATAGGCTTCCCAGCCATTGTGCTATGAATCCATTAAAATAAAATGCTTCCCAGCCTTTTTATATAAATTAGTATATATTATAGGCTTCCCAGCCATTGTGCTATGAATCCATTATATAATATAATAGTAATGCTTCCCAGCCATTTCATATCAATTAGTATATATTATAGGCTTCCCAGCCATTGTGCTATGAATCCATTAATATAAAATGCTTCCCAGCCTTTTTATATCAATTAGTATATATTATAGGCTTCCCAGCCATTGTGCTATGAATCCATTAATATAAAATGCTTCCCAGCCTTTTTATATCAATTAGTATATATTATCGGCTTCCCAGCCATATACTTTAGTGAATTGTGGTTTCCCAGCAAGCCATGTACATGTTCTGGTTTTTATGTGGGCCCATGATTCCCCAAAATTTGTCATATGTTTTGGCTGGGGTGCGGTACCACTCCAACCCAAGCCACACCACTTGGGTTCGCGCGCGACGTGATCAAACCTCACGGTGAGAGTCAATGAGAAACATGTTTGGGATGGTGCTGGTCGTTACTGAATGAATAGTTTTGACATGCTGTCAGAACCCAATGGCAATGGTTTTCTTTAGATGTGTGATAGGGGTTTCAGGGTGTGTTGACATCTTTTGGCACAATGTCTGCAACTGCGGCATGAAAGATGAATGCATTCCACCCATGTGTCAACTACTGGCATTGCGTTTTAAGATATATACATTATGATGATTTAATGTGCAATTTTTAGTAGTATACTGCTATTTAATCCATGGATCATTCACCATTCGTATATATACATTTGTTTGTCCAATGCCAACCCCACCCATGAATAGAGCCTCGCGAAGCAGACTCATGTGGCCTCAGAGTGAAAGATTCAAAGACCAAATCCAAGGTGGCTGGTTGAAAGATCCCGCATGCGATTCAATGCTTTTTTGTCAGTGGAAGTTGGGTTGGGTCGCGAAAGACCGCCAGTCAGACTGACTGCAACCTGCTATTACACAGAACAGTACAGGCCTTCCCAGGCTGGCTTAAAAGGGAAAACTGTCTTCCATACTTCCCAGCATTTTATTGGAAAACAGGCCACAAATCTTAAGATGTGACTCTTCCACATCTCATGACCAAAACCTAAAATTCAATGGCTGGCGCAACATGCACTGTCACACGTCGCTTGGCCTGTGCTCTCACAGCAACTCGAGTCACCTGCGAGTCAACCTTCCTGACCTTGCGGACCCTTCCACTGCTAGAGCTCGCTGTTGTCGATCCCGTTGATGATCGAGCATCAGTGGTGTCAGCCACGTCAGTAGCTTCAGCAGCAAGCGCAGAGGTCTCATCCTGCGATGTGAATTGATTCAATAAATTCTGA